TTGCAGAACACACTTCAGATCTATAGGCTGGAGGTTAGTGACACACAGGCAATCACACGGCAAAGTGGCAGGTAAAAACAAACAGGAAAAGGAGGCTATCAGAGGTAATAAAGTCTTGTTGCATGCTGAATAAAGCTCTGTATAACTTTTATCTTTTTGCCTGGGGCAAACAGTACATTTCGTTTCTGCTTTGCAGTCAGCATAAGCTTTGGAAGGTTAAACAGAGAGTATTAGATTATGGTAAGTGGTCATCAGAGGCTTGCTTTACAGTCATTGCCTGTTAAATTGTTTACTGAACCTCATTATATATATATATCTCTGTGAGGTTGACGTGTGTCTTACTTCAGTTTATCTGAGAGACATGCGTCTGTTGACTTTTTCATAAAACCTGAATGAACAAACATAAAGTTTAGGATTCTATTTATTATAAGCTGTGGCTTGTAATACTGTTATGATAGTAAAAAGTCACTGCAAACATACCAGTCACAACAATAAACTTTTAGCATTATGTCACTGTGTATCTTAGCACCTCTTCCTCAGTGTAGGTTTTTAGCCCCGCTTTTCTACAGCTGTCAGTTATTCTGGCAGCAGCTGGACAGATGCCAGGGTCTGATCTCACTGCCGGGAAGAGGCTGGCACAGCAAGGTGACTGGTCATGCAGTGAGCCCCATGGCACTTCATGTCCGTTGTCCTCACGGGTCAGCTTCTCACTTGCTGCCTTTGAGGCTGCTGTATGTGGTTTTGTTTGCCTCAAAATGCCGTGCTGGGCACTGTCTGTTTGGACCCAAATCCCTGCACAGTGGCTGGGAAGAAGGGGCAGCCTGGACAGCAGGCTCAGTTGGAGCTGGACTGTGCCAGGCAAGCAGAGGTTGATCCACACAACTGTATCTCTGCTTTGGTGCAAATGCTGTCGTTCAGGACAATTCAGTTTCAGCGCTGGGTTTACAAAGTAACAGTACTGACTTCAGGTTGCTTTGAGCATCTCTGTCTTGTTCACCTGAAGGAAGCAGTTCTGTAGTTGTGTAAGACTTCAGCAAGGAATGTGAATGTGAGCGAGCTTTATGTGGATAACAGAGAAACAAGAGGTTTGGGCGCTTGCTTTGGACATTTTGAGATGTAGAAAAGGAGACAATTTTCATAAAAATATTTTACCTCCTTTCCCCTCCCTCCTTGCCTTTTAACCTCTCTTATAGGTTCAGGATACCTAAACCACAGCCTGTAAAGGACAGCCCACAGCTGCTGTGTGGGAACAGCAGGGAGAGGCTGGATCTCTGTGACTGGAGTTTGAGCACCAAGGGATTTCCAACAGCCTCTTGAGGCAGGCAGGGCCAGTGACCCTGGTGTTTCTACAGCGGTGCTCAGTTAATCTCTGTGGAACAGCACCACAGAATGAAAGTCAGGTGCTGTTGGGGCAGCCTGCCAGTGAAGAGCTTTACGTACGTGGTTTATTGATTTGCAGAATTCATTGAGGTATTTCCACATTTCTTAGAACCAGGGCTTGACAATAAGTCCTCAGATAAACTGTGTCGTTGGATATTCCAGGCAAAATGAGAGGCAGGGCCAGGGAAGTGCTGGAGTACAGCAGCAGACTTGGAGTGGACAGAAATAGATTTATGGGAGGGAGAGGGGGAGCTCAAAGAGAGGAGTACTAGGGTAGAAGATGTTCTGGGATAAATTCCCATTTGTATTATTTGCACATGTCTATAATCTGCTCAGCAGCTGGGCTTCAGGTTGTTTTGGGGTGGGGTTTTTCCAAACAACTGTGGATTACACTGTAAACAGTGTATCATACCTCTATAATCTGGACTTCTGTAATATAAAAGGATTTATATTTTCTCTGAAAATGTAGCCAAGTCTGTATTACTGGTATCCATGTGTTAGACTTGCTCTTCTCCACCATTCCTGCCTCTTCATGTATTACTCCATGACTGGGGGATGGAGCACAGTGGCACACAAACCAGTTTATACTAAGTAGAAGTTAAAAAAGGAACGGAAAATGTGAAAGCTAATAAGGAAATATAGTCACATGCCAATAAAGATAAAAAGATACATCTGAAAATAGTGTCACAGAAGCAGATAAATTTAAATTGGAGATAAAGTCCTGATGGTATTATTTATGGGCAAGAATCCTTTGTTGTATCATGGAAAAATGTAAAAAAAACCCCAGTACTGAAGATCACTGGCAGGATACTGGTCTTTACCTTCCCTAAAAGACACGCATTAGATGGCTTAATATTCTGCAGTGTCCTTGGGAATGAGGGTCTGATCTCATCCTCCAGAGAGAAAGACACGAGCTGTTGGCCACAGGGCTCAGCACACAGTGGTCTGACAGCAAACCAGGGATTGCGAGGCTGAAGCAATGTTTAACCCAAGTTACTCCTATTTTAATAATTAGCCAATAGCACAGAGCACCCGAGCACAGCCTGGGAACCTGTGCACAGTGACTGGCGGGGCCACCTTGGCCTGACTGGGCTGATCCCCAAGCAGCAGAGACACCCCAGGGGTATTTGATGGGGTTGCTGTGAAGGATGCCCATGGCAACAGCTTTCCCAGGAGGCACTTCAAGCTCTTTGTTATGGGCAAAGCCAGCCCCTGGGGACATGGGGTGCAGGCCGGGTCCCATCTTTCTCCCAGTGGACCGGTCACAGATGAGTGCCATTAGAAAATTGAAGTATTTTATTAAGATTTTATTAGGAATTTAATTTTAATTATTTTTGATTATTATTATTAAAATATTTTTTAATTAAATGTTTTAAGATTAAGGGGCCTTTGTCACCCACGGGACCAGTAGGGCACATGAGGTTTATGGCGCCTGTCGGGTCAATGGTGCTGCTCATGTGCTCGCTGTGGGCCAGGAGATGGCCCTGGCTGCCCTGAAGCTGCTGCTGGTCAATGTGCAGGGAAAAGGAGAAGGAGTTGTGGGAAATGTAGGATGGAGGCAGCAGCCTTGTAGCAGTGTTGGTGAGCCCAGCCCTGTTCCTCAGCTGGAGCCTCCTCTTGCATATTCTGCTTTGATGGCATGCAGTGTGCCACCTCTTCTCAGTACTCAGTCACTGAAAATGCACTGATTTTCAGGACTGACCTTCCAGTGTCTGTTATATGGGTCTGACCATCCCATTCGTCTCACTAGAATAAAATTATGAATTTGAGCACATTGCCAAATAAAATGGAAGATGGTTTTCTTTCTATGAAGTAGTACTGAGTGAACCTTTCTCACCGTGTTTACAGGCACTTAACACCCTGCCTGTGCCATGGGTGTGCCAGCTGACAGGGGAGCTGAGACTGCAAGGTGAAAGCAAAGAGCAGAGGAAGGCAGGTTTGCTCCCCAAATGGATGAGATTATTCTTTTCTTGATAAAACCATCTATTTTCTCCCTGCTGGAGCATTACACAATGAAATCATGTCAAAATGTGCTCTTGGATTGAATCCAAACTGTGAAGACCATCCTGTGAATGTTATTTGTATAGATTTTTTTGCCTTATATTTTTTACTTCCACGCAACTATTCAAGTTAGTGAAGAAAGAGCAGTGGAGACTGCTTATTTCTCCCAGCAGCTGGCAGTGATGTGAGACTAATAATTTTCCCTATGACTTTACTAAGCTTTGGATTAAATCCACTGATGTTCTGTCTTAACAAGGAAATACTCAGGCTTTGCCTGATTCAGAACTGGGTGCTGAATGTGACTCTTTCATCCCCAGCTAAGGCAGAGACTTGTTCTCCAGCTGTGTGTGTATATAAATGTGTATCCAAGTGGAGAGTCATAGTCCCATCAGTGCAGTCTGTGTCCAAGCATCCTCTGGAAGTCTCCTAAATTGGGTTGCTGAGACCTCTCTGTTTTTCTATCTTGAAAACTGTTTTGGAAAAGCTTTCCAGAAGGAAATTCTGGTGCTGGGGACGCATTTTGTTGAAGTGCATATTTTTGATAGAATGAATAAAATCTTCGGTTCAGAAAAACGTTCCATCTCTGTGGTGCCTGCACCATCACTAAGCCTGTCGACAGGTTAGTGGTTCTGCCACTGACCAGTGGTTCTGCCCTTGACAGTGGCATAAATGGATATAATTACATGGGGACCAGGTTCAGTGACCGCATTTTAAAGAGCTCTCAGTAAGTTATTAAATCAGCAAGAAAGCAGCGCTCAGCAGCCAGGCAGGCCCAGGGGCCGCAGAAGCTGTGTGCTGTGGTGAACCTCTGCGTGTAAAATTTCTCTCTGAAAAGATTTCAGCACTTCACATGACCTCCACTAATACTTATTTTTAAGTGGCACTGTGTCAGCTGCCTCAGCTCCACAGTGCCGGGGGCTGTTCTCGAGTCTGGACTGTTTTCCGGTCGGCACGAAGTGGCCTGATATGAACTGTTGACTTGTCCTGATGGTTTTTGTTGGCACAAACATAGCTATGAGCCAACTGCAGTGGCAATGTGGCTGTGCTTTCCGACAGCCCTTGGGTGTATTTTCCAAGTGCTAAAGCCAGTGACCTGGCTGAACTGAGATTTGAGAGTCCTTTTGTGGATACTACATAAAAATACCTCTTTTTAGTGATTTTTAAAAAAATTATATGTACTCTAGTAGACAGCAGGATAGGAGGGTTGGAAGAGGAGGTACAGGTGTGAACAGTTGGCTGGGATGTTGCCTGTATCACATAAGGGCAGAGGTGTTAACACCTTAAATATGTTACACAGAGCCTTTACTGTATATATATACACTCTCTCTATATATATTTATATAGATCTACTATCTAGTAATGTTTTCCTTTATGCCACTGCAGTTAAACCTGAAAGCAGCACAGTCAGGAAAACCACTGCATGTGGTTAGGAAACATTGCAGGTTACTCTCCGTTGCTGTTACTAGTAGAGCAAAACTTTATTTTCTAGGGTTTCAAATTCCAAATGGAGACTAGAGCGAAGCCCATGAGAAGAGTTAGGCCTAAAGAGGAGTTCTGAGTTGCAAGCTGTCTATCTGGATGTACATTAACCTCTCATGGTCTCTTTTTCTTTTCTGTAGGCAACATCTTTGTCGTCAGCTTGTCCGTCGCAGACCTTGTGGTTGCAGTTTATCCGTACCCTCTGATCTTGAGTGCCATCTTCCATAATGGATGGACCATGGGAAATGTCCACTGCCAGATAAGCGGGTTCCTGATGGGCTTAAGTGTCATTGGGTCCATTTTCAACATCACGGCAATCGCAATCAACCGCTATTGCTACATCTGCCACAGCCTTCGGTACGACAAGCTCTTCAACCTGAAGAACACCTGCTGCTATCTCTGCCTGACCTGGATACTCACCGTGGTGGCCATTGTGCCAAACTTCTTTGTTGGTTCCTTGCAGTACGACCCCCGGATCTACTCCTGCACCTTTGCCCAGACGGTGAGTACGTCCTACACCATCACAGTGGTGGTGGTTCACTTCATCGTCCCACTGTCCGTCGTGACGTTTTGCTACCTACGGATCTGGATTTTAGTGATTCAGGTCAAACACCGGGTGAGACAAGACTGCAAGCAGAAGCTCAGAGCAGCTGACATCCGGAACTTCTTGACTATGTTTGTGGTTTTTGTCCTTTTTGCCGTGTGCTGGGGACCATTAAACTTTATTGGCCTTGCTGTTTCGATTAATCCTTCAAAAGTGCAGCCACACATTCCAGAATGGCTTTTTGTCCTGAGCTATTTTATGGCCTATTTTAACAGCTGCCTCAATGCTGTGATCTATGGGCTTCTTAACCAGAATTTTAGGAAGGAGTACAAAAGGATATTGCTGACACTGTGGACTCCCAGGTTGCTGTTCATCGACGTGTCCAAGGGCGGGACAGAAGGGATGAAAAGCAAGCATTCTCCAGCCATAACAACCAACAACAACCACGCTGAAATACACTTATGAGTCCGGACATACTATTTATTTTGGATTACAATTGTATATATAATATATAAGAGCCTTTCTAGCTGTGTGCAATTGCACAGCTGGTGTTGCCTGGCCCCTCATGCAAGGAAGGAGTCTGCTGCCTTTCATGCTTAGCTTGCTGCTGCGGCATCAAGGCTTCGAGTGAGGAATGTCAGAATGGAAAGGACTGATCTTTATTTTTTTTGGTGTGCCATCTTTCACTGTGTGCCTCATTAATCGGTTTGGTTGCTTTTGCCCCAGGCATGCCAATACCCCAAAAGGGAAGCGTTCAGAGTGCATGGAGAAATGCAGTTATGCTTGAAATGCAACCTTCAAGAGACAGCAAACTTGCCATTTATTACACATAAACTTTTTTCCCCAGTCTCTGAATTCTATTTTTCTAGCATTAACTTAACCCAGACTATATCAAATGAAGTTTAAACTGCATGGCTTTTTACCTTTAGTTAGGTAAAGGCTGTTATTAGCCAGCAGGAGTTCATATGGGCCTGGTGACTTCCACTGTGTGTGCGTTCATTTCCCTTTTTCTTTCTTCTTAAAGTTTAGAAGCGAGCCTGGACTTGATGTGAGGCAGGCAGAATCCAGACCAGTGAGTGTCTGATGCACTCATTTTAATTGAATATATACAGATATTAAGTACTCTTGCACTCTCCTTCCCAGGCCATGAGTAAGAATATAACATATGACATAATCTAATCGCAGGAAGATACTTGGAGCCTGATTCTAATTTAGGCAGTATCCTGTCATGGCCAGCATTCATTCCAAATGTCTTTTACAAGTCACTGCTACATGAACATCATAAAAAAAAAAAAACAAAACACATCAGAGTCCCATCTGTGTAATGCAGATGCCGGCTTTTAGGTTCCAGTACCATTTACACTTGGAGAAAAAGAGAGAAGGGGAAGGCAGCATTCCAGAAATCCCTCTTGTTGCCCACCACAGAACATGAATTTGCTGTGGGGAGAAAAAGTGGAGATTTTTTTTTTCCATTTTATTAATATATAAAATATATAAAACTGTAATTAACTCATGGAGCTGGGAGACAAAAGCTACTTAAGCGTAATTATGCATCAGTTCTGTTAAAGCCTGAACTGGGCTATCTGTATGATAGACCATGTCCTGAAGTGCTGGGGAGTCCACTACCACATTAGAAACAACCAAATGGGCAAAGATAAGGCTGTTTCTTTAACGGAGTGTGTGTGATGGCAGCTCTCTGTAAATATGATGACTTCTTTGTTTTCTTAGCCTCATCGTGAATTCATCTCTTTATGCTTTTAAATATGTGGATCTTGCTTTGAAACTGTCCCATAAAATCAACAGGTAAAACTCCCCCTGGTGCAACTCTGCCTTCAGGGTAGCACACCTGACAGTGCAGGAGCACCGAGTGGCACAGTGGGGAGAGGAGCAGGTCTGAGCCCCTGGCGAGGACAGCAGGCAGCCCTGCCCCTGGTTGAGGACAGTAGTCTTTTCTCTTTGGTTCTGGTCAAAGCAGGACTAGTTCCCAGGGCTGAACCCTGAAACACCGAGACCAGACTTTGCAGTAGCCTGTAGGCACCTGGAGCTGGAGGTAGGTAGGAATTCCCAAACTCCTGGCCGGGCTGTGTGCCTAATCCATAGTGAAGACAGCAAGCCATTTGGGCATTGCTTGCTTAAGGCAACTTGCTGCTGAATGTTTGTTCTGCTGATTTGTGGGGGGGAAGAGGAGTTGAGAGAAGTTAAGCCCCTTTCTTTAAGTGGGCCAAGAAACACTGTGTTTCTGCTGCCATGTGGGGAAAGGTCTCTGCAGTACCAAGGGGGGGTCTCTGCATTTGTAGAGCGCCCTGGCACTTTATGAAGTTTCAAACTTGAACATCTCAGCCACTTCAGATAATTGTTGTTTTAAAATGCACTGCAGCCAGCCTCCCATAATAGGAATCAAACAGAGTTCTGTTTTGGCTTCTTAATATGCCCGAGCATGGCCAAATAAAGGTATTTTGACCCTCAGAAAAAACGTGGTCTGTTCGCCTTCCAGAAAAACCACCCTGGGTGAATTCACACCATTCCATGCAAGCAAAATCATTTTGAGTTAAACTTGGATAAGAAAAGCACTGTGAGGAATCCATAACTGCAGGGAGTGTTTGTCCCGTTGTGCCAGGGAGATGTCCTGTGTTCCATGACTAGTCTTCAAAGTCATTTGCAATTAGCCACAACAGTGTTAGTTAGACTCACATTAGCTAGTAATTTGAGGCATCTAGCGCCAAGCAGAATGTACTCCTTTAAGACAATCATGAAGAGTCTTGTGCAGGTTTGCCAAATATCTCACATGCCCTGAAACTGGGGTTTCATCTTTATGAATCCTTGTCTTTTTAACTGAATGTTCAGTGAAGGCAATGTGTTGGTTTTTTTTTTTTGTTTTTTTTTCTTTATGCTTGTATTTGCACTATTTCTTATTCAGGCTCCAAAGTAACAGCCAGCAAGTATTTGAACCAAACCAAGTCCAAAGAGGTCCCGAACAGGCAAGCTGTGAGAGTCCTTGCTATACCTGGTAGGAAGGGGAGCAGCAGGAGGGTGGTAGCTCATCTCTCCAGGACTCACAGGGAGTCACTACGGAACCAAACTATGCAAAATGATAGTGGAATCTGCTCATCTTCTGCTGTCGGGTCTGAGCCCAGCTCCTGCCCAGGTCTCCACAGGGCACAGGCTCAGTCCCTGCTGCGCTGGGGCGGATCTGAGCAGCTCCCTGAATGTGCAGGCCCTGCTGCCACCGCAGGGTGGGGATGTGGGTGGGCACCGTCCACCTGGCAGCACAAAGAGCCCTGGCACGACCTGTTCAGAAGGGCTCTGGGTGGCCCAGTGAAGGTGCCCAGAGCTGGGCTGATGCAGCCGCTGTGGTTGGAGTCCTGAGCTCAGTCCTGCTGGAGCTGAGGTTTGCAATATGAACCATGAAAAGCAGGGAACGTGGCATCGAGCACTGTGCCATTTGCTAGCACTTTGATAGAGGCAGCACTTAGGATAGGATAGAGTTTTATATTGAATTATTTAAAAAGTACCCAAGCAGCTCCTTATTTTTGTGTTAAGAAATGGTTAACAGGGTACAGAGAATTTATTTTTGTTAACAGTTGTTTACAGAAAAAGGGAAGTGTGTTATAACTGGGAATCCTGGGCAGTGTCACAGTTTACCTGTGGGAATCTAGCTTTAATCCAAATCTGAGATTTCAAGGACATCCCACCACTTAAATCATGCTCTGACAATTCCACCTGTTGCATACCTGGCCTTGAGTCTCTCCGAGATCTCACATAAAGTGATTTCAAGTCACTTGCTCTGGATTTGACCTGGTGGTGTTGAATACCTATTCTAGCCCCAAACTCTAAAATTGTTGTGGTGGAAACTTGTGGACAGGTGGTATTGCTGTGAAAGAAGATAATTCTCTTGCCATGAAGAAATATTTTTGGATATTGCTAATGAATGTTGTTTAATCTATTTAAGAAGAATGTAACCAATATATTTATATATAAATGTGTATTGCATATGCTGTTTCCATTTTATTGTTTAATTAAGAATCCTTCAGTATACTTTCCTATTGCTATTTTTGTTCATAAAGGAGATTCATTCCCTTTACTTGTTAAAACTGTAATAAATCTGCCATTGGACTGCTTATTGATATTTCTTTTCCACTTGCAGTTATTTTTTAATAAATATTTGGAACAACAGCTTGGGTTTTGTTGACTCCCAGAAAGCAGATTGAATTGACAGATGGGTTCAGATATAACTCGGCTGTCCAGCTTAGACCTGGAAGTGAATGACCCAGAACATCTGAGACACATCCTTGGATTCACGTGTTTTCTTCCACCTGCTGTGAGCCAGCTGCCTGCTGCACTCTGGCCTTCCTCATCAGGGAAGAAACTTTCTCCGTGCTGCTGTTGGTCTCCTCACTGTGTGTCCCTCCAAGACCCTTTGCCTTTCTTGTGCCTGTGTCTATCCAGCGGGTGCGATGGAAGCAGTTTATCACATCCATTTCCTTGCCCTTTCCTGGGGAGCAAAGCACAGCCAAGCTGTGAACAGGAGGGTGTGGGAGCCGGGGTGGTCACAGGTTGGGGCACAGGGTGGCAGTGGGTTGTAGGGGAGGGCTGGAGACAGAGAGTCACCCTGGGCTGGAGGCACAGTGAGGGCTGACACACACTTTAGCCATCGAGGAGCTCTGTGAGCGTGAGGACTGCTGTATCCAAGATGTTCTATCTGTGTTCTTTCCCCACTTCTGTTTTTGGGCATATTTTACTGTATTCATGCAGTTGTTCAGCCAGTAGGTTCTGTCCATAGGCTGTACCAATTATATTTCCATGCTGACTTGACTGGAGCTGGGTTTTGGGGAGTCTCAGTGCTGCTTCTGAAGCAAGGGAGATGGGAGTATGGAGTCATCCAGCTGTAACTGCAACCTGAGCTCCTGTTTCCTAACCAGATGTCACATGTGACTGTGGTGTTAAGGTAGTAAAGGCTGAGATTATCCATTAAAGAGATGCCCATGGAGCAGATGTGTTGAATGAACAGGCAGTGTTCGTTCAGTGACATCCCAGAGCAGTACTGCTACTTTTTTTTGCTAATCTTTTCCAACAGACTTCACCTGCTGTTTCCACAGTAAAGCCTGCAATGCTCGGTGATGGGACACACTGAAAGCAGTGTTTATTATAGTTGCAGATGCCAAAATGTCTGTCTGAGCAGAGCTGCTGGAAAACCCTTGCACGGACTCGTACCTGCTGTTTCTACCCCGTGGAACCGAATGAATCGAACTGTCAGAAGTGTTATCCGTGTTATTTATTTACTTACTTGCCACAAAGTAATAGTAACTGGGAGATAAGATAGAGCTATAAAAGGCAAGAGGTGTGATAATTCAATACCAGGATAAAATCTCACTCATGGTGACTATTTGGAAGTCAATATTTGTCCTAATGTGTTTACTTCCAAGCTTATAATCTATAACATGAAGCCACTCAATAAAGAGCTACTGCATATGTATTTAGAATTTTATTGGAAAAATGTAAATTACTGGACCTAATGCAGTATTTCTTAGCATAAAAACCCTGTGATAAGAAATGCATAATGGGTTCTTGCTAGAACTCTGTGATGGGATATGCAAATTTTTTTTTGCTGGTGATAAGAACCATAAAATTTGTATCTCTCATGAACTACAGTTGTGAATGGAAGCTCCATAATATTGTTAACTGAATTTTCACTTTGTATTGCTTGTTTATAATATCCATTATTCATGTACTATAAGTAATGCGCTGTACAGCAGAGATAGAATTTAGAGAACATGGTCAGTTTCCAGAGCAACCAAGGTGGGTCTGAACCATTAACTGAAATATGTTTCTATGTTTTCTTCCAAGAATGGTCTTCTGATAAGGATTTTAGCTCAAATGATTGCTTCTAAGAGGTCAGGGAAACTTTAATGTCTTTTAGATTAGTTGCAATGTCTGTGCAGTCACAGCTTGCTTAGATTACCTTCTAAATAGACTTGAGTCATCAAACCTTTTTAAAAGTCTGTCCAGTTGGAGGAGCACATAATTTATTTTGTATGTAGAATATTTTATCACAGCACATTTAATAAACTGTTATGTCTTTCCTTCTGCATTATACTCCTGTGCACAGAATTTTTGAATTTCCCTGTAAATAAGATGCAGAATTTTTTCCTCAACTGTAAGCAGGTTGCTTTGCCTTGAGGTAGGTTTCCACTGGTTTTGATAACTGTGTAGGATAGAGGCACTGATGTGGCATCAAAATACAACCATCTCCTGGGTGAAAAGTGACAGCTGTTTTGCAATCAAAAAAACAAATAAAAAATAGGCATCGAAAAAAGTCCAAAATAATTTGCAGGAAGTAATTGAAAAAGATGTCTCTGGTTGAAGTAAGAGAGGAAGGAATATTTGGAGGGATTGTACATGCCCAAACTGGGACCTGGCCAGGACAATGAAGTTAACGAACCCCTTAATATAAAAAAATGGGATTTTTATGACACAGGGACACACAGCTGGCACAGAGCCTGATGTCTGGCTGCAGGATCCCCTGTGACATGAGCAGAGAAACAGGAAATACAGTAAGGAAAACTAAAGAAACCTAGAGAAACCCAGAACATACTTCTGAAAATATTAGATGTGCGCATGCACTGGTAGTTAATATACAAGTTTAGCAAGATTTTCCTTTTTGGTCTTTCTTTCTCTTTCCCTCCCCAGCTGTGATTTAGTTGTAAATAAAATGATTACTGTCAAATGCTCCCAAAGGACCATTTTGGTTTGGTTTGGTGGTGGCTTTGGAGAGCCTCAGGCTGTAGGGATGGCAGCATGGGCACAGCTGGGCCAGGCAGGCCTGGGATGGGGCTGATGGGCTGATGAGCTGCCCCTGTGCAGGGGGTGTCACACCCACCTCCATGGGCTTATTAAATCCCTCTGGGGAGAGGACGTGTTTTTTTGGTCAGTCTATGGCTGGAGAAGGATGAAGTTGCTGTGCTGTGGTTGCCAGAGGGGCTCCAGTGCCCGGTGGACCCAGGACCATGTGCGGTTGCAACGGGGACTGGTGAGACTAAACCGTGAGAGATGCTTTGCTGAGGTAGGAGAGGTCCATTCTGTCCCAGGAGTGGGGGTGCTGAGGGAGTGAGGCTTGCTTCCTTGGCACAGTGCTCTTTTTGTGGGAAAGTCAAAAGATGTTCTGGAAAGCAGAGGTCTCTTGTGTAAAAACAGAGCTGCTCTATCCTGGAAGGCTTTTTCCCTGTCCTGCTGGTGGTGGTGCAGGAATTAAGGTGACAGCAAGGGGCTTTTTTCACATGCAGCACCTGTCCCTGTTGCTGCCCCACACTGGCAGTGCTGCTGCACAGCCCACCCCTGTCCCTGCAGAGCTGCTGTGTTCATGATGGAGCTGATGGCACTGAGCCCCAGGGCACCCAGACCAGCCTGGGGGGTGTGAGAAATGATGAAAGTGTAGGCAGTGGGACAGGTTAAACCCTCTTTGGGTTAGTCATAACCAAGCTGTGCATGAAAAGTGGTGGCTAGGCCAAAAGGAGCCCTTATCTGCACACCTTGAGGGCAATTGCTTCCACATGAGACTCTCTCCTGATATGTCCTACACCAGAAATTTCCCTCCTGCTCAGGACTCACCCCGTGCCTGCAGGCAAGCATTGAAACAGAGGAATAGATAGGTGAAGGAAAAGAGCTGCACTTAGACTTGAAGCCCTTTGGTTTCTAGAGTAGATCTTTCGCTTCTTTCCTCATTGTGTAGAAATGTGTGTGTTTATATTTATGTTTACACAGCCTGGGTTTTCCTAAAGCAGTCAAGACCGGTCATATCTTACAAGGTATTGACTGCATAAAAGTTCTGGGTTTTTTCTCCTGGGTACTTCAGAGCAGATGGAAAATGCAGCAGGTGCTGCTAATGGTTTTCTACCCTTGGGAAAACTTGTCACAGTTACCTGTTTATCTTGTTTATTTTGACATTTTACTGCCTGAAACTGTTCTGTAACATAAAATCACATGCAGGGTGGTTAGAGATGAAATCTTACAGACTCACTCGAACAACTGAAAATCAATAAGCTACAAGCAACTAAGAAAAATATCTTTTTCTATGCATGTGGAGGAAGGTTAGTATTTTTATTTTTACTGAGGAAATACCATGGAATAACAGAATGATTTCGGTTGGAAGGGACCACAAATGCTTATATGGGCCCAACCTCCCTGCCACGGGCAGGACACCCTCCACTAGACCATGTTACTCAGAGCCCCATCCAACCTTGCCTTGAACACTTCCAGGGGTGGGGCATCCACAGCTTCTCTGGGAAATCTGTGCCATGGCCTCACCACCCTCCCAGGGAAGAATTTCTTCCCTATGTGTTATCTAAACCAAACCTCGATCAGTTTGAAGTCATTACTCCTAGTCCTGCCATTACATGCTCTTGTAAAAATCTCTCTCCAGCTCTTTTGTAGCCCCTTCAGGTACTGGAAGGTGCTGTAAGGTCTCCCTGGAGACCCCATATTCCCATCAGGGAATGCAGGGCTTTTCACTTTGTGTGTTAGTGACTAGAAAGTGTAAAATGAGCTTTGCTTTAACTGCCGTGCACATGCTTTTATCTTTTCCTCTTCAGTAGGTGATGGAAACCTCTTTATTTTTGCCATATTCTTAAGACTTCATGGAAGAAGAATTAGGAGACAGGTAATACAGATGCTGAAGGGTTTCTGTGCCCAACAGCTTTAAAAAGTGAAGTTTGTAGAAGATGAAAAGCGAGGCCAGTCCTGCTGGCTGGTCTGCATGAGTCCTGCTCTGCAGCAGGACTCGGCACTGCTCAGTGCCTTTGTGAGAGCTCAAAACTGGGGATGCTTCTCCCCTGCTGCTCCCATCTGAGGAGTGGAGGGATTTGGCCAGGCTTTGTTCCCAGAAGGAAATAAAGAGTTTGTTTGTCGCTGGGGGTCTTTGGGCTGACAGACTGTATTGCTTCGGATGCCAGACCTTTCCCTTGCTCTGTTCTCTGATGCTGAAATTTTGGAAAACAATGAGTAGTTTTTGCTTCTCTCACCCTAATAGGCACCATCTTGCAAGTGCTTGTAGCTGGTTGCTCGCCTTGGAGTGTGTTCGTGGGTAATTGTTGTTGAGGAATTGCTGTTACATATAAGTGACCTCTTTGCACGGGCACTGAGCTGGGCTGGAACAGCCCAGCTGGTGATAATAGCTGGGGTGGTAATTGCAGAATCTCTCCATCTTCATGCTTTGTGGAGTCTGGTAATCAGACTTTTGGGTAAGTAACAAATTGCACCTTCCAAACTGCATCATCCCCCGGGACTGCAGCGGAGAGCACTTATTACAGCCTGAGATGGGTGTGGGATGGCCACCTTGTAGCAATTTTATAGGTCTTCTCAGTTCTGAATTTGCTCGTAACTCAGAATTCTTCACTGTGCAGTCACATCTGAAATTCACCTTTGAGCCTTTAAAGTAAAATGAATCCTGGACAACTAACTGAATTCAGAGCTTTTGGATGAGAGTTATGTCTTAGTATTTAACAGAAATTAATATTAGCCATTAAACCTCTCAACTGCTAATTAAATGAACTATTTCTATGTTATGTGTAAATTCATCCATATCTTCACGTTGCAGGTGAATAGAATTTCATTAAGGCACTTCAGTAACTGTAAAGGGACAGCAGCAGCATTTTCGGTTATTCTGGTTTTAGTGAATTATGTCACTGTTTTGTACTGATTACTAAATACTTTAATGATATGTCTTGTAGAATTTATTTTTGTTTTGGCAGGGCCATTAGCATGATAAATGGCTCATCAAGGAAGGGTAAATTACAGCTGAACTCAGAGGTAGTGCTTGAATCTTTAAGTCCATAGTTGCTGTAAGTTATTACAAGGGTGTGTAAAAACAGCTAGATAACTTTGTGTACAAGTCTATTTGTCAGACTTACTGCATATCAAACACTGATTTAAGCTGCGTTCCTTTATGTGATGACTGAGAAAGGCTCTCTTTTCCCAGCCTCTATTCTCATAACTTTTTTGGGTAGCAGCTGGTATTGACTTGGTTTTCTAGGTTTTGTGTCAGCTTGAAGAGTGGGTGCTACCTAGTGGCTGAAGCAGAGGACTGAGTGGAGGTGACAAGTCAGGACTTCTTGCCTCTTTCTTTGCGACCTTGAAATGCAGTGTTTTCCCTTTGGTTCAGAGGTATGGTTAATTACGCTGCAAAGCACTGAGGACGAGACAATTAAGTTATCTAAGGGGATTGCATAATGATTAAGCCTTAATTTGCTGCGTGGTTTCTTTCTTTCTCATTAACTCTGCTGAAGCAGGACCTTTGAAATGAAAATATAAGGTGAACATCGTTTTTAGAAGTGTGGAAGGCTGAATGATTCAGCTGTGACCAGGGCTTGCATAGCTTTCTGTTTTATATTGGCCTGGGACAAAACCCACCACTTGAGTCCTGGGTAACAGGTTGTCACATTGCTGCTCTCTCCTGGTACTTAATTTTTTTTAACTGATGGGCTGGTATGAGGGGAGGGAGGAAAAAAAAAACCCCACAAACCCCAAATACCACGTGTCAGAAAAAGACTGACAACAAAGCAGCACAACCATCTGAGCTTTGATCGGGTCTTCTAGCTCATGATTCCCCCCCAGACTTGAGGAGTGAAAGGCAGGAATATGTGCACTTTGCTATTGATGCTTCTTGTGTAGGTTGGATGTGGGTTTACTTGTAAGGATAATAACTTGTCAGTGGGGGAAGTTATCTTAGCAGGACACTTGGATGTCAAACACTGTGGCCAAAAACATCCCCAAGTACCAAAATGGAGCTCTGATCTGCTCAGCCTTGAAAGGGGTGGGATCTTTTTTTCTTTTTTTTTGTGCAGCAGAGCAAATGTTGTGGGAACAGAGCAGTGGGGGAAAAAAACAGATCTGCAGGCCATGTTTGATTTGATTAAATGTGTAATTATCAGTAACACATTAGAGTCCAGTCAAGCCAATTCATCATTTCCCTCGTGATATTTATTGAGTTATTTTAATGCAGACATAGGACTGATTTTATTTTGGTTTATTTGGTGTTCATACTAATGTGTACTGTC